CCCCCACCCTCATACAAGAATGCTAATAACAAGAAACCAGGTGACTGCCGATTCCCCAACGGCACCATAGCCACTGCCGACGAGCGATACAAACGAAACTACGGCTCATACTCCTACTACTATTCAAGCATGAATCCTGTTTACGACAACTGCTCCTTCACATACTCCAACAATACACAAAGATATACCGATCCCAACGCACGCTACTACCTAGACGAGCAAGACGTCAGCGCAGACGACACGTATGCCTGCAACGCCACGATTTCCGTCCCCATCAACGGAAAGCAGTACGACGCATCCGATCTCGACGGATCCTACGGCTACTGCTACAACGGCGTAGGATACAACTACACCTCCATGAGCGACAAGAGCCGATGCCTGCCCGACACGGCGAACCCGAGCTACCAATGGGGCTTCGCGACGCTCATGTCTGGCCTGTTTATCCTCGTCACGGCCATCTGGACGCTGAGCATGTATGTGCTCTGGCAGGATGCGCAGTTTAATTGCAAGCTTGTCAAGGAGGGGTACCGACTTACGCCTTTGCGGGCGGCGTTTGCGATGGCGGTGGCGGCGAGGCGGCGCACGGGGCTGGGTGGGAAGGAGCTTGTGAGGGCGAAGAATGCGGGGTTGGAGAGGGAGTTGTATGGGAAGAAGGGGACGCGGGGGACGCACATTGAGGGTCATTTATTTGTGGAGAATGTCGAGGATGAAGGGAAGGAGGAAGAAGAGAGGAATAGGAGGAAGGAGTGGATGACGCAGACGCCGGTGTCGACGCCGTTATCGCCGCTCACGCCGGCTTATACTTCGTCGGGTAAGGAGAAACAGTGGCCGTTGTCTCCTTCTTCGACAACTGTGGGAGACCACGAGATTAGGCCGTTGGTACGGTCGGATACGGATATCTCGTTTCATGTTCTGGATGATGAGGAGTTGAGGAAGAGATATTTGAGGGGGGTGGAGGAGGCTAGGTTGAGTCGGAAACCGCTGAGTAGGGAGTCCACGTGGGTTGAGGAGAGCATGTGGGAAGGCAGCCCTAGGTTACCGCTGTACGATGAAAGGGGCCCAGATGGTGGCTCGGATGGTGCGGGCGGTGTGGCGCGGGATGATGAGAAATCTGAGGAGATAGATGGACGTGATGAGCGGCACGAGAAAAAAGATAACAAGGAAAGGGCCAGGTTAAAGAAGAGTAGACGGCCTTTTTAACTTGATGGATATAGATTATACGACGTTACGAATGTCATGAATACAAAATTTTGCTTCAAGTAGATCGAAGTGGTCTTGACGAAGTGCTTTGCCTAGCTCTACATAGAGAGTGTTTTGGAAACAAGGTAGATCAGCTGGCTTGAATTACGTAAGTCAGTACTTGACCCTCTCGAACATGCATCAACCCTCTCAACATGGTGGAGCTGGTCATCGTTGTCAGTTCTTCGGTTCTTCCTCTCACACTTTAATTGTCCCCGAGTTTGCTTTTTAGCATTTCATCTAAGAGATTTTTTGACATCAAATGTACATAATCAGTTGTCCGAATGTGACATTTTCTGTCTGGACTGACGCTGTGGAATTTGTAGCCCGCATAAGCAATGAAACTGTAACTAACTACATGCACATCACAGGGAGCTTCTTGCAAGACGTTTCTATGCAATAACAACGCAAGGACCGAGCTTCTGGCACATTCGTAGCGATGCTATGTTACCGTATCCGCGCCTGTGTCGACTATGTGCGATTGATGTCCCGTTTTGGGTATCAAAACTCAACAGAAAAGGATATTATATAGCTGTACAGGTACTAGCAGAACCTTTTGTTGCGTGATCTTTAGAGTTAAGCTTCTTGTAGTACTGCAGTTAAATTCAAGCTACTCGTATCGTGGTAGTGTCACAGGCAGAAAACTGTTTCAATTAACGACTAGGAGCACCTCAGAGTTGGCGTAATCACTTCAAAAGATTGTGTGGCACAGTTGAAGAATTTCAGTACAGCAACTGCGCTGCAGTTACGTAATTGCTTTTCTATAGTCAGATAAGACTAAGCTATAAGCAGACGCTCTTCTATAAGCACTACCTGTTAGCTAGTAATAGAGTGTACGTATTGCTGCTCTTTGTTACGGCAGCCACTGTAGTTTCCTTGACACTAATCATACCACAAAATCCCGGTACTAAACAGAGTACCTAGATTCTGCTAACTGGCTCGCCAAGGCCATAGTGCGATGCCCATAGGCCTTGCCAATAATTCCTCGATATCTGTTTCCGCTGTTATATCTTTTTACGCAACGTCTTGTATTAACCTAAATACTGCTGTAGTAGAGTGTTCAGTTGTTTTCCATCGGAATGGGCGCTCGATGCAAATCAGTTGTATTGTTGCTATGTGTAGCTGTCGTTGATTTTGTTGAGTGAGTGTGTTGAACGTTGTTTGAAGGCCTATCGGCCTTCCCTTTGTTTTCCATCTTTTCTTCGAGCTCCCCCAATCCGATTGCCCTTCAGTTCATTCATTTTCCATGTTTTGCCAATACAATACGTACGCATCACATACTCCTTTCTAACGTCTAGCTGTTGAAGTCTTTGAGATCTAGCTATGTACTCCGACGATACATAGCTAAGATAACTTTTCAACAATTATCTCCTCAGAAAGTTTCCACAGCATTTCCGCTTTCTTTTCGTCTACGGCCCACGACACTGGGTGGCCAAGCTGATTGTCTTCTAACCATACGCCTTTTACTGGGCTAAGACCAGGGTCCGAGGCGGCTACTAAGGTTGTTGAGCTTCCTTGGTCGATGCTCTTCCATAGCAATTCTCTGAAGATCGCCTTCTGTTCTTCTGGCGCAGCTGCAATCGTTCTCTTCGCTGCTGTGCTTTGTACCCCTCCGGGGTGAATGACAAAAGCAAAAATCCCTTCTTTGGAAAACAATTGGTTAAAGTGAACAGCGAAGAGAGCATTGGCAGTCTTGCTTTGTCCATAAGCAACATAAGGATTGAACTTTGAGGTTTCAGAGATTCCAAGCATGCTTGTTAGCGCAGGCCAATTTGGCCTTTCGTTGTCGGGAAGTTCTTTATCGCAATCAAAATTCCAGTCGCTGAAGCGGAAAGGGCTGAATTGGCATGCCTCACTGCTAACAGAAACTAGTCGGGTCGCACCGGGGGGATTTACTTTGGCGGCAGCGCGCAGTCGTGGAAGAAGAAGCTTGACAAGGAGGAAGTGGCCTAGGTGGTTGGTACCGAGATGTGTCTCTATACCATCCGCGGTGAGCTCGCGCTCAGCGTTTCCAAATTGGCTGCCAGCATTGTTGACAACAATATCGATCTTGAGGATTGATCCATCCTCAAGTATCTCGTTCGCGGCGCGATGAACGTCTCGGAGTGAGGCAAGATCGAGTTCGACACAGCGAAACTTTGTAGATGGATACACGGCGGAGATTTGCCTAGCCAGCTCTTCGACGCGTGCTTTATCGCGCCCAGTAGCGATAATAACAGATGCACCGCCGTGTGCAAACGCACGAGCTGTAGCCTCGCCAATACCTCCAGGAGAGACACCCGTAATAAGAATAGTTTTGCCAGTGATGTGCGAAGAGTAGGTCTTGGCAACTTCCAGGCCGCCTGTTTGTTTCGTGAAAGATTTGTTTGTGGCCATGATGGTAAAGTCGAAACACAAAGATTTGATGGTATGAATTGTTGTTTTAAAGGTGATGAATGAGAGCCTTCGATGGTGAACTACCTGTGGTACCAGTGCATAGTGCTTTGTACTTAGACACAGCCAGTGCCAAGCTAATTGCGGACGGGTTCGGCGGCTTTGGTTCACTCCGAGCAGGAAGCACCGGGCTAGTTACGGACGAATTTGGCCGCCTTGCGTATGATGCCTCGCGAGTTGCCCTGCGTGTCAAACCTGACAGACATAGCACGAACCGACCGTGCGGATCGCGATACCTGCTGTTCTGACTGGGTGACATGTTGTACATCTGTGCGGGTCCTATCGACTCCTTTTCCTTAACACTTATCGCTCGTCTCATATAACGTTTCGTTTTATCTAGCAAGACGCTTTGTGCTTTTCTGCCTGCGACTTTCATCATAGAAACACCAGTGTTAATGGCGGCCTCTGCTATGCGTGTAGAGCGCTTGAAAGCAACCGTGTACGCATCGCTGACGCTTTACCATAGATAGCAGGCCAATGCCGTAGCTTACAAATGCATAATCGCGTGCACTTCTTATAAATCCGGAGTGCCCCACCAGAAGCTACACACTCAACTATCGAGATTCACCGCCTGATGAGCCTCTCCAGCGTGGTAAGCTCAGTGGCGTAACGAACCTCCTGAACACCAGGATAGCTCCACAACTGCAGGCTGTAGAGCCTCACACCATAGCTGTTTTCGAGATATTCTCTGACGTTGGGATCTCAGGTCTTGGTTGATATATGTATATATATATTGAGCTATAGGAAGTGGATCAGAGATTTAATCGTACGCCCTTTCCGCGAGGTAGAGGCTGACCTCCCTTCGCACGCGACGAAAGATCTAGCGGACTAAGACTATTCAACAAGAGCGCAAGGACAGTAAAAATGTTAGTCTGATAGAGTATCCTGTTCGCCGCGTACAGAGGAATGTTAGCATAACATACATGTGAGAAAAGATTCTGTAAGAAGCTACGCCCAAGTAATTCAATAGTCTACGTCAAAGGACTGCCTACTTTTCTATCTTTGTATTAGCGTACGGAGGATGAATACCGTATAAGAAGGACATTACTCTTCTTTTCATTATCCTTCTCCGTCTATACACAGGAGTAGATACAAACTTATCGTGACAGGCTAGAATCTAGTTACTAAGATATCATTGGGAATCTACGTCGAGCTTCACAGTACCTCTCCAGAACTGAAATTCGTGGCTTCGGTTGCAATCATTGAATTTTCCAGATGAGTATATGTACAGCCGCATATAGTGAAGCCACGTGTTTGGTATCACACTTCTACTGCGATACAATACAGTGTACCTCAACAGCGTTGTGCCTGCGTCTTATCACCAGCACGTTGATCAAATCAATCATCAAAAATCCACTAATTAGGCTGTAGCATGTTACACACGGGTACGATAATAATCTCGATAGTTAGGTTCCAGACCATAATCGGCGGTGCAGCCCTGTGTGCCTAATTGTTTTTTCTTCTTTCCAGAGAAACAACAACTTGTGAGGAACCCTTCGCAGAAGTGTAGAAAGAAGAAGACGTACAGCAGCCCGTATTAACTTACGCGAAGATGCCAGGTGCCACCTTACCAATGACTCTATTAGATAACATAGTAGGAGCTTACTAGCCAGCTTTCAACCCGTAGGAGAGGGGAGTAATTCTAAAAACTGACTACTCCTAATCAGTAAAACTGATGTTGCGGCTTATTGTTAACTTCAACATAGTCTACCCGAATTAATAACATGGAGGAAGAGGTAAGTAAGCTTGCATTGTACTTCGATTTGTTGTAGGCCAGCAAGATCGCCTCTTTCCATTCTGTCGTCTTTTCTCGAGCATCCCGTATGCTTCCCACGACAACGGCTTCACCCTTGAAAAACCACCATCCGATAAGACTAGGCTACGAGTGTGAGCTCATCCTAGTCACTGGCTACATTGCGCTGACTTCTATGTTCTCTCGATGATTTCGGTTCCGGTTTCTGTTGTGGGTTTCGTTCATGTCTCAGTCGTTTTCACTGTCAACTCTTCTTCTCTTTCTAGCCGTTCCTAACGTCATTTTTTATCGTGATTTCGAGAGTCAAAGCGTCTTCAATCTTTAGGTTTGTTCCTCGATTTTCTCCGTCAACCTATTTTAGACATTGGCGCTATTTACCGTGGTGTCGAACCTTTTATGGAAGATACTGTCGCACATCTAATCCAGCCTTGTGGAAGACTCGCCTAGAGTTTTTACCAGTCCACTAGATTTCGATTGCCTTCCAACGGTCTTCCTGATATGTTCGTTTTTTTCTTCTTATCTTGTTGCATTCTGTCCGCTGGAAACTTCCTGGTTGCCTAAATCTCCACATGACGTCAGCGTCGTCTTAACGCCCAACGCGTCGATGCCACCACCAAGTAAGCGTTGAGAATACGATCAACAACATCGTAATGTCTTCTTCACCCAGCTTCTCCTTTCGGGCCCACCTTTCTCAGTGCGACAACGATAAATTATACTATTACACCGGGTACATCATTCCAGAGCTTGCTCTCTTGGGCTACACCGACGTCGCGGGGCGCCTGATGAGTAACCTCAACAACTATGACCTGTATCACGACAGCTACCCATATCGGAGCCAGGGAAGTCTTTGGTTCTTGTGGGATCTGCGTGCAAAGGAAGATGGGGTACCGTGGCCCGATGGCGAGGAAGAAAAGGTACGACAGGCTGTGAGGAATAGACGAGCGAAGCAGAGGGCGGTGACCCAGACGACCCAGCGAAACAAAACCGCAGCCAAAAAACGATCTAACCAGGAACCAAACCAGGAACCAATAGACGTTGTCATGCAAGTCCGGCCTCCTCAGGAAGACCCAAAGGCAAGTCTACACACTGTTGGAGCGAAAGAGGAAAGCATAGATGCTGTTATGCCGAGTGATGATGAGGCGGTCAGCCTTGATGACATACAGAGAGAGCTGGAGCTCCAAGCGAACAACTCCGACGGACCAACCAGCACCACTCAGATGCTTACCAATGCACGAGACATCGTCCATAACCTGGAAACTGCAGGTCGGACTACCCATGTCTCCATTGTGAGTTGTGGCTTGCTAGAGGCACTAGATTTGGTTTTAGCGGCTGAGGAGCAGCATGGAAAGCACGAAGAGGGCAGAGGCCTAGACTTGCTTGGAGCTCCATCACCTGACGAGCTGTTGCGATGGCTAGCATACAGTTTAGGGGAGAGACATTCTGACAATTGGGCAATAGCAGGATCGAGACAAGCTTGGAGACTTTACAAAAGAGGAGCGTTGAGGCAAGCGCTCAGTATCGATGAAGCGGCGCTCACGGCCTTCGCGCACGATTTCGAGACCGCTTTAATCGAGCGACTCACGAATGGCCGTACCAAACCATCAGCTCACCTTTCCATGCCAGAACTGTTAAAGGCCGCAGAAGACGTCACACAAGCCATCAGAACCGACGCCGAAGTCTCACAAAATTCAGTTCGTGCCAGAAGCACATCCCTTTTCGACTCCCCCGCGAAGGAAGAACAGATTGCACAGGCCGAGACCCGGCTGGGCATCAAACTCCCATCTGACTACAAGAATTTCCTCCAGATCAGCAATGGTACCGTTGGGCATATGTGGGGCCATCCTCTAGGCGACTTCCAACCACCCCTGCACACAGTCGACAAACTACGATGGCTCGACCCGGCCGAAGAAGATTACTTTACCGGTCTTGCGCTTGACATTCCTGCTCGCTGGGCCAACTGGCCTTTTGCACCTCGCCCCACTGCAAACGGATACGGCGACTATCCAGAACACTTTGTCATTGGCTGCGCATTGGAACTCGGGTTCGAGGATATCGATAATGTGTGGCTGATCCCTCCATCTACCGTCACGCCGATCAAAGACGCCGTGAAGAAATTGCTGGAAGATGAAGACTTGAGCGAGCTCGATAAGAATAGTGTTAGAAACGCGGTTCGAGACTTCGCGGGTAGTGAAGATGAATGGGAGCAGATGGAATGGGCTTGTGTGACTTGGGCTAGTGGGGGGACTGCGGCTATGTTCTTTTATCCTGGGTTCAAGGCTTGGCTTGAGCGTGTGGTAGAGCATGGCAGTGCGACGGCATATGTCAGGGATGAGGATCAGGATCAGGGGACGAAGGTGTTGAAGAGTCAAAAGTGGCTAGGGAATCTGTTTGGGAAAGTTGGAGAGGGAAAGGAGTCGATGGAAGTGCCGAAGTGGTTGAAAGATACGGTGCAGTAGAGAAGATGACCTAGAACATGAAACTGGAAAGAGGGATCATGATAAATGGGCTGGATGTTTTAGTAGTTCAAAATTGTCATCATTGTCCTAACGATCTTCACAGACGCACTGGTATTCAAAGGTGAGATAATGAAAAATGTTTTGCAGATATATTATTAGACATTACGACAGTCTCCAGAGCCACTGTCCCAGCTCCTCCTCGGCGCTACTGATCGTTCGTCGGGGTATAATGCTTGATAGAAAATCCGCTTTTGTCTCGCTCGAAATGCACTTTTGGTCGTCGTGTCGTCATTTACATCCTTCTCCTCCTCTTTCTTGATCTTCACACCTCCATCTACAAGGGCTTGCCCTGGGTAACAGTACCGGAGGGAGCGCCGCATCCGTAGCTGGCCATGTATGCAGCGTTGACGCTCTTGTGGTGCTCGATAGCGTGCTTCTTGACGCCTTCCCACATCTTTTTGATGCTGAGGTTGAGCTTGTGTTGAGTCTTCTCTTCTTGGTTGACGAAGTGGTGGGCGTCGTGGGCCGACTCGTGAGATTGGCGGCGAGACTGCGAAGAGGGTGTTGTGGGGATGGAAGATGGGGTTGAAGCGGAAGAGAGCGACAGGATGCGCGGGTGGGAGTCGAAGTTGTTCATGTTGGTGGTGGTTTTGAGGTTGTTGAGAAGGTTTGTTCGTTCGAATTGTTCGAAGTGTATAGGAGAGTTTGATGATGGCGAACTAGTAGTAGTAGAC